TAATAAGCTACTTTAATTATAGCCTAAACCTAGCTATATATATACTAGCTAAAAAGCCCTGCCTATTAGCTAGCCCTAACCTTCTTCCTTTAACCTACTTTAAAGGTCTTCTATCGGCCCCTATAACCACACTTCAATCATCCATCACGCAGTAAGTCATCCGACCTGACTTTCCCTCTTCTGGCCGCAACTGCTAACAGCATTACAGCTGCCCTGTTATAATGCTCTAAAGAAGCCTGCAGGCATATTGGCCTAATAAGCCTTATTTAACTAAAGGCTGTAATATAATCCCTAAGATTAAAAAGGCTCTTAAGTAAAATATAAATAAAAGTAATATATTATATATAATAATTATAAATATTAAAAAAGCCTAATTTAATCAAAATACTATTAATTATATTAAAATAATTATTATTAATTATAAAATCCTTTTATTTATATAATTTATTTATAAAAAATAAACGCTTAAGGATTTAAAAAGAAAGCTATATAAAGGGATATTATTATATAAAAGGAAGAAGGGGTTTTTTAAGGCCTTTAATAATAGCTTATATAATAAGTAGCTTAAGGATATTTAGTAATAGGCTAAGGAGATATTAAAGAAGATTAAAAACTTATAAAGACTAGGCTAGTTATAGTTTTAAATTATAAAAATATAATTAAAATAAGGGAATATTATATTATAATAGCTAGGATAAAAGTAAGGTAATTATAAGGTTTAAAAGAAAAATATATTAAGTTTTATATAAGTTTAAGTTACTTAAAGTTAAAGACCTAGAGTTATAAATTTAATATTAATATTAAAAAGAGAATTAAATAATTTATAAAATAAGCTATATAATTAAATAAGTAAATTAGCTATAATATTAATATATTATAAATATAAATAAGGGATTATTAATTAATATAATATTATTAATAAAGGCCTATTATTATAATATTATACTTATACCTTTTTTTAATTAATTAACTAGGCCTTTTAATACTATCTTTTAATATTTAATAAATTTAAAAAAATAAATATCTTATATAATATCTTTAATTAATATTTAATAATTAAAAATAATAAATTTAACTTATTATTTTTTTTCTTTTACCTTTAGCCTTATATATAGCTATTAAGCTTTTTAGCTTTTTTATTAATAATTTAAATAATAAGACCCTTATAGTAGGCTATTATTATAAAAGTTAGAATTAAATAAGGTTTATTTACCTTAATAATATAATTACTACCTTAATTAAGTAATATTAATACTAGTTATATCTTAATAGCTAAATTAACCTTCTTCCTTTAACTTATTTAAAGAAATATTATATTTAATTTATTTATTATACTTTTAAAGTATATTATTTAACCTAACTTTTAACCTTTCTTATTAATAATATAATAGTTATATTATCTTAATATTATAAAATAGCTTATAGTTATATAATTATATTTATTATATAACTAGCTATAATCTTAATTTAGTTATTAAGCCTGCCTTAAAGGTAATTAATAAAAAAAAACTTTATATAATATATATAATAGTTATTATTATTATAAAAAACTTTTTATTAAAAGGTAAATTTAATTTTATTAAAGTAATTATTTTTAATTATAGCCTAATTTAATTAATTAATTATATAAAAAAAGATATTATATTAATTTAATTAAATTAAATTAAATTAATAATAAGCTATTAAGTCTTAAAGATTTAAAAATAGCCTTAAAAAAAGGTTATTTTTATTAATTAAATAAAATAGCTTTCTTTATTACCTTTATAAGCTTAGCTATATATAAAAAGTAGCTTTTTAATATATTTATAAGGGTAGCTAATATTACTAGAAAGCTGCTTTTATATTAATAATAGCCTAGCTATAGTCTTAAACTATAAGAGTATAGTTAGGGAAGTTTATATATAGAGTTTTAAAATAAATATAAGGTAAAGGTAAGGTTTAGAAATTTAAAGGAATTATATTAAGTTTATTTTATATAAGTTAGTAAAAGTTAAATTAACTTAAAGTTATAACTTAATTAATTAAATATATATAATAAGGTATATAATTAATTAACTTTATATATAAAAATAAATAAAGTAAAATTAGTAAAAAAGTAGTAATTTAAACTAGGGAAGGTAGGCCTTATAGCTAAATTAAAATTATAGCTAGTTATATAATAAATATAATTATATAACTATAAGCTATTTTATATAATAGGTATTAAGGTTATATAGCTATTATATTATTAATAAGAAAGATTAAAAGAGAAAGTTAAGTAAAATAATATATTTTAAAAGTATAATAAATAAATTAAATATAATATATTATAAAGGTTAATTAAGATATAGCTTTTTAAATAAGTTAAAGGAAAAAAGTTAATTTAGCTATTAAAATATAACTAATATTAATATTACTTAATTAAGGTAGTAATTATATTATTAAAATAAATAAACCTTATTTAATTTTAACTTTTATAATAATAACTTATTATAAGGATTTTATTATTTAAATTATTAATAAAAAAGCTAAAAAGCTTAATAGCCTTATATAAGGCTAAAGGTAAAAGGGAAAAAAAAATATTACTTTATATATAATTATAATATTACTTATCTTTTAATAACTTAATAAGAATATAATAAATAAAAAAGTAAATAAATATTTAATAATAACTTTTAGCTTAAATTTATTCTTTAAAGCAAAAACTTTTAATATTTAATTATTTTAATATCTTAGCTATAAAGAATTAAACTATCTGATCAACCTCCACCCTGCTCACGGTAGTAGTAGTTCTTATGGTTATTGAGTCTCTTTCCATAGGCCAAGTCCTTCTGCTTCGTGTGGACCTGTTCCAAGGTTCTTCCTCGTTCCTCTGCACGTCGAGCCCGTCTCTTTTGTTGTTCTGGCACGCCAACCATGCCCGCCATTCCGCGGGGTACCATTTCACGGGATCCAGACCCAGTCTCTCTCTCAACGAGCTGACCATCGGCAGTCGAACCCTCTTGCTCCTTCTCAGCGCTTTCAATAGCTAATCTCTCTGCTCGCTCCTCAGCGGAGGGGTGATTGTGCAGATTCTGTCGGAAGTACTTATTCAACGAACGATGACCAACTGACTTGCCGGTAGGGAGGTGAAGTTCGTAATCATCATGAAAGACGGCACGCGTAGGTTTATGGGCATGAGAATGCCAGCCATCAGCTTGATGTCTTTGTCTCGGATCTTGTCGGGAGTGATGTGGGTGTTTGTCGAGGCGTTCGAATTGGTGAATATGGCCTTCAGCCGGCACGGCAGTAAGATCAGCTGAGTCCAAAGACGACTCTGAACTATCCGTCTCCCAACCGTCTGCACCTTCGCCATCCTCAACCTCGGCTCCATCCTCTCCTGTGAGCTTAGAGGGGCGGCGTGCCCCGAGCTTCGCTCCTCCACTTGTCTCGTTCACAACCGAGCCATCGTCGCTCATCTCCCCGTCGTCAGAGTAGGTGCTCCTGAAGTCATAAAAATCACCAATCTCAAGCTGGTCACGCTCAGTTTCGTAGGGGATCTTGCAGTGGCCTGTATCGCGCATGTGTGTCTGAATGCCAAACATGGAGGATTTAATCTTGTCACAGTACAGGCACTGATGGTGTTGTCGGATTTTATCTTGCAGTTGCTTGAGCAAGCCGTCGATGTCAACAAGATACTTCTTCTCGGGAATAAACATGCCATGAAAGCGTTCCATATGATGTGTGTTCAGAGGGATGGTTGGAGAGGTATAGTTGCAGAACAAGCATGATTCCAGTGTCAAGTTAGGATCCTGAGTAGCAGGGACGGGCGTAGATGAGTCGGAAGCCCTTATGGCCTCGTTATCTTCTCGTGCAGCGTCTTGAACTGAGGGCTGGGGGTGTGAGGGACGTTTGACAGGAGATGGCCTTTGCTCAGTGATGCTCGCCTTCTGGAGGCCTTCAACAACATGGCTGAATTCTTCCTCAGCGTCGGAGTCAACCTCTCCTTGGCTGGGTGCAATAGGTTCTCCGAGAGAGAACGTAGAGCTCACGATTGAGGTTGTTTCGTCGTCAGCTCGACCAGGAACAGTTTGTCCACTGCTGGCTTCCTTTGCCTTATGCTTCTGACTTGACAGGTGGTTCTGGAATGCATTCTCGCTGTAGTATGTCTTCTCGCAGATGTCACATACACGTTCGAAATAGGCCTTGTCTGCTTCCGCGCTTGACACCGCTCTAGCCTGCAAAACCTTCTCGGTGAAGACGTCGGAGGAAATGGGAGGCAGTGAGGCAACTCGGCGTTTGAGGTTGTATCGGCTTTCGAGTAATTAGCCTCAGCTTTTACTGAAGATCCCACAGATGAACTTACTGCCAATCACTTTTCATGTGTCCCTTCTGCAGGTCGATGTTGCGATACGCCACTTGGCAGGTGTTGCAGGTGTATGGGTGCGAGGCTGCACCGGATGCCTGGACACTCGCCATGATAGGAAGCGAAAAGGCTGCGACTTATCACTCCAAATCGAAGTAATGAGGCTTGTTTTCTTGTCGCTTGGGTTGTACCCTGGGCTTGGGGTTCGCGACTTGCAGAACGACGGTTGTGTTTGAGAAGGAAATTCGGAGTTGAATTGGTGGGATATGGCGGGGCTCTGTTGATAACGTCACACAGAAAAGGTTATCAGCGAGATGGATGACTGACTTTTTTTTTGCCCCAAACCCCGCCACGCAAGGGTTCTAGGCCCCTTCAAAGCCGTCCTCAGGGTGCAACTAACCTTGAGGCAAGGTGCAAAAATAGCTCGTTCAAGTTCCGCTAAATCTACACTAAGGCTACCCAGCTAATTTTGTCATTTGGAATAGAGGTCTTGCCTCCCCTAGCCCGCCTATTGCGGCTGGGCCATTGGCCACCAGGATATGGAGCCAGTCCACCTGCTAGTCCCATATTGGCAAGCTACGTTGTGTCAAACAGGACCTGGCTGTACGGAGTACATGTGGCGTCTGTTAGGGACAGTTAGCTAGGGGCGCATCATCGCCTCTTTCGCGAGGCTGACCAAACAGCTCCTTAGAGCGTGGACTCCCCTCAGATTACACGGCATCTACCACGACCGGCATACATACTCAGCTTCGAAGAACCAACTTGTATCATCAACTTTGTTTAATATATCCGCGCACACGACTTTGATACATCTCCTGATGCGATACTTCTCTAAATTTTGACATTTCTTTATCAATCCCCACCTTCTACGTCTCCTCCAGGTGCCCGTGGAGGCGCGACCACGTCCTCCCATGTCATGACGCCCGATGCCGTTCGTCCCCGGGACCATTCCATCGAACTCGCGGCAGACTTAGATCTTCTCGCCGGACTTTGGCAAGAAGCGCCCTTTGCCCGTCTGCCCCCCGACGCGCCGCCCGAGCTCAAGGCCTATGTTCAGAACGTTGAGAACCCAGCACGAGTCTATGCGATTCATCAAGCGAGTCGCCGCCATGGATTCCAGCTCCTCGTGGAGAGGTTCGTCTGACAACTGCGTCCATTCCCTCAATTTCCTTCGTGTTCTGATTATCGAAGCAGATACATCTTGCAACTCCGATCAGGTTGCGAAAATGTCAATTGCGCAACTCCCACTTGCTTCACATGCAGGCGCCGCTTGGCAGGCCGGGCTCCCATCCGAAGGTATAACACGACAAGCGCCAGGACGTTAGCGATATATTTAGCAAGTCAGGACGACCCGGAGAAAGGATTATGCCCATTCCTCCGTAAATCTCGCGAACCGCCGGCGGCTTTTGGCAACTTGATATTCTCTACGCGATCACCCTCGCCTTCGCATCCGGACCACAACAGAGGCAGTGTCGCCACCTCGCCCAGCGCACGCAAGGAACGGCTCTCTAGACCACGAGCACCCTCATCATCGTCCCAAGACGCCCTCGCTTCCTCAACGAACGACCCAAACAACCCAAACGACCCAGTCTCTCCGATCCAAACCGCAAGTAAGCCAGCCGCAACATGCCCACAACATTTGAGAGATCGCGAGTTGGCCTCTCAGATCCGTGTAATCGAGGCGCCCATGAGCAAAGATCACCGCTCATTCGCCGCGAATCTTTTTGGAACTGTCACTTTTAAAATGCTCGAATGGTTGACACCCCGAAGTGTCGCTGCAATGGCGGAAAAAATCAGCAATCTCGACCCAGTGGTGGATTTTGATCCTCCCCAAGATCCAATAAGTTCAACCAGAACGACCGCGGGCTCGGATATTCAAAGCACTGTCCCTGATGAGTCAGATACAACAGATTCGAAGACTGTGGCTGTTCAACCACATGCAACTGACATGAATGAGACTTCATTCATGCCAAAACCGGCAAGGACCAGTAATGGCTCAGTATCAAAACCACGAAAGAATGCGGCCCCAAAGCACAGACGACGTTCTACTGACTCAAATAATACCGCCATATCTGGGGATAATATAAAGTCCACTAAGTCGTCCCAGGTGAACGGCACCTTACACGAGAAATCCGTGCGACCTAGACACAATAAGAATTTGTCTGGACGTGGCATCCCAGAAATGCCTTTGAAACCAGGATTTTTCGAAAATGTTACAAAACCTTTGGCGCAACCTCTTTCACCTACAAGCCCGTCGACTGTGCCACAAGTTGAACCTTTTGGTGAAAACAGGTCCAAAGACGATACAAATTGTGGTCATCCCAGAATTGATAACTCTCAAAGGACGAGAAATCTCGATACAGCACCACCAGACATCTCATATCACAATCTGGAAAATATATTGCCTCAAGCTCTCGCGCAGCTCGATGTCAGTCTTGTTGACTTCATTTGTGACATATACGAAGAAGACGGCACAGCTGAGTCTGTTATTATCTCCACCTCCGATGCAAGTCACCCGTACCCCAGGCCCGTGGAAGAACGGAAGCCTTTGCGGCGTCGATCCATGTCACGCACGGCTAGGTCTAAAAACCAGTGGCTACGTTTTAATAACCAGACGCTTTTCAATGTTCTCATGGATCCGCAAGTTATTGTCCAATCCTTCACCCACGACCGAAAACTCTACGATTCTCAGACACTCTGGTACTGTTTTCATCGATTGAGCCGTGTTGCATGCAATCTTGTCTTTCACAGTCTCTGGCTGGCTGCTGGGCGTCTGTTTGTTCCTCCTCAAGATTCGAAGTCACATAATGCTATCAAGGGCAATGAATCGAGGTTACAGAAGCACAAAAGGCCTTTATCTGATCTTGATGCCGGTTATTTGATGTCAATCTGCATGCATGCATTGGTAGCCGCAACTCCAGCTGTTCAAGATTCAAGAACACTGTATGAGATGTCCCGCGTGCGCTCAAATGGATTGACCCTCGCCGGCGGGAGCGCCGTAGCCCGGCAATCTTCCTCTCGATGTTTAGATTACGACGATGCATTCTCAAACGACTTGGCTATCAGACTTGCGCGTAGGCTATTTTGCGCCATTACAGCCAGACGTCACTTTTCTAAGAATATGGACAGTGCTGGCCCCTTGGATGAGACAGAAAACAACAAGGTCGATATTCTGCAACCTTTGGTTGACCAGCTCGATTTTCTCAGTACAGGATCAGCGACGATTCTGGAGTTCCCGCAATCAGAACGTCTGTTGCATGAGACTCGTGTACCGACTGTTCTTCTGGACTGGGCACGCACCATATTGCTCAATGAATGGGATGGTCGAGCCGATTTTGCCATGGATGGGCCTTTCGGGGGGCTTTATCGTTCATTGAGACCTTACGTATGTGAATGCTCCTCTCGGCCAATCAACAGAATTTGATCTCACTAACTTGTCCAAGATGCCAACCGAAATCTTCTCCTTTTAGGGGATATCCAATTCCGGGTCGATTACCTTTCAGAGCGCTTGGATTCGATCGAGATGCCTGTGGACTGGCTAGCATTCAATTCGACACGCTGGCGACGACATATTCTAGACTATCCTTACATCTTCAGCCCCGACACGCTGGTTTCTTTCTTTCGATCCATCAATTTTGCCCGAATGAGTCGTATGTTCGAAGAGTCGAGTTCATTGAAAACTCGCATGAGTGCTATTGTCGACCCCGGTAGTCTCATTACTAACCCCCACCACAAGATGGTTTTACAAGATCTTTTGAGAACAGCTTCGTCCAAATACCTGGTCCTCGAAATCAGTAGGAGTAATGTCGCCCGAGATGCTTTCGACCAGCTCTGGAGACGAGAGAAACGAGAGCTTCTTCGCCCGCTAAAGGTGCACTTGGGTGAGAATAGTGGCGAAGAGGGTTTTGATTCTGGAGGTGTCCAACAAGAGTTTTTCCGGTTGGCAATTGCTGAGTGCCTCGATCCCCAATATGGAGCTTTCACTGTTGACGAAAGGACACGCATGGCCTGGTTCACCCCTGGGTCATTGACCGAAGATTGGAAATACGAACTTGTTGGGCTTCTGATGTCGCTCGCCCTGTACAATGGTCTAACGCTGCCCATCACTTTTCCGAAGGCTCTTTACCGGAAACTGCTGGGCAAACCGGTCGAAGAGCTTCACCACATCGCCGATGGGTGGCCAGATTTGGCAAGCGGGCTGACAACTTTACTGGAGTGGGACGAAAAAGATGGCCTCGTCGAGGACATTTTTGCCCGCACGTACGAATTTTCAGTTGAATCGCTCGGTACCGTTGTGACGCGAGAAATGAGAATGAGCGAGCAAGCGATTTGGCCCAAGACAGCCTCAAGCTCAGGTGATATTGCACCACCACACATGGATAACCCAGATGACGCTCCACTTGTTACTAACGAAAATCGGGATGACTATATCATCGATTACATCCGTCACCTTACGGATGTTTCCATCCGACGGCAGTATCTTGCTTTTGAGCAAGGGTTCAACTCTTGCCTCGACAAAAAGTCACTCACACTCCTGAGTCCCTCCACCTTGCAGTCTCTCGTCGAAGGTGTTCAAGAAATCGATATCATCGAATTGAAGCGGTACGCACGCTACGTGGGCTGGGATGCTTCGCATCATACCATTAAAGACTTCTGGTCCATCGTCAAGAGGTACGACGAGAGAATGAAACAACGGCTTCTGGAGTTTGTGACATCGTCCGACCGCGTTCCTGTCGGCGGCATGAAGAACCTCCAATTTGTGATACAAAAGAATGGTGAAGAGGATGGCACGGGTGGACATTTACCGACAGCATATACTTGTTATGGCACACTTCTTCTGCCAGAGTACAGAGATAAAGAGGTGTTGAGAGAGCGGCTTGGAATGGCACTTGAGAATGCTCAAGGGTTTGGTTTTGCTTAATGAGGCGTTTTTCATGGGATTAAAGTATGGAATCAGTTCTGTTAGACTTTGCATGGGCAGCGACCAGATTCTGTAAGCTGAGTAGGCAACTGGAGAGAAAGCACGAGTGACTTGTAAAATAGCATATGAAACCTTGGACTAATGATAATGCTCAGTTTCAAACAATGTGTTAGAAACTTGCCGGTATAGACAGCAAGCTTTAAACAAGATCATCAAATGGGTATTCGTCTATTAATCTCGCATTTGCCTAACATTTAGGTTGATCCTCTTGTTTCTCATCCATCCTCGCCATTCCGCAAACTTCTCATCGTCACGGGCTGGCCAATCTTCAAGATAACTTGGGCATGTGTCCTTAAGCACTTTAGGCACCCCATGCCAGGCATATCTCGACTCCTGTGTCATGTAGATGGCATCGCCAGATCTAAGTCTCAACAGCAGATACTGTTTCTCGCCCGGTGTTTCGTTTTGAGATCCTTGCCGGAAGTCGTTGGGTGCAATCATGAAGAGTCCGTCACAACCAAAACTCAAGCTGATAAGTCCCTTGTCTGTCTCCTCGCTGACATCTCGGTGCATCATCATCGTATCGCCTGGTGTGTAAAAGTTGAGAATGGCTGCCTGGGCAACAGTTTCGGGGAACAGGTCCTCAAGCAAGTGTGAGATATCATCTGGAAACTGAGGAGGCAATTCCTCGGGGTAAACACGATTGGTCCAGTCGTATTGACCCCCAAGCGTCACCCAGTGCAGTTTTCGCTGCATAACCTGCTTGATTGACAGTGGTTTATGAACGCTGGGGTCCTTTGGGAGAAATGATGCCGGGGTTTCTGGACTGATAGAGAAGAATGACCGTTCATCGTCGTCCTTCCCTTCTGGGTACGGAAGGTTGTAGTGTAGGTGTAGATTGGTCTGGTGGTTCTGGACACTGAGATCACGATGGATCAGACGGTCCAGTAAATCTCGCTGCACATTTTCGGGCACAAGTGAAGGGAGAATTAACAATCCTATGATCATGTGAGGTTTTGGACATACTAAGAACAAGAAAGTCTGCGTACCTGGTATCAGTGGGTGGTGTATAACTGGAACATCCTTTTCGACCTGTGAGGCAAAGTCAGGGTTGAGGTGAGCGAAACTTTTTGCAACCTGCTCTTTCGAAAGACTCGAGATTTGACGGAAACCAGACTGTTCTAAGGGAGCGCGGGGATCATCGATTCGAGGGTCGTTGAGCAGACTTTTGTGATCTTGACGCATGTAGGTCTTCCACTCAGCGCGCATCTCATCAGATGGCTGCTCGTGGGCGTCGATCTCGGTAAGGTTTGCTGATACCATTCTGGCGATGATGGTGAATACTATAAACTTGGACGTTTAGTATACCAGCACTTTGACAAGATGTCCTTCGCAAATGCCTTCGAGCTTTGTGCCTCTTATAGGTACCTAGGATTTTTCTTGACTTGCTCAAATGAGTCAAGGTTATCCCACTCATTCTCGCAGTCATGATCTATCTGGTGGACCACTCGTAGTAGCACGTGACGTCCTTGAGCCCATTGTGAACTTCACCTTTCTCTTTGGTATACAGTTATTGGCATTTCATTCTTAGTTATCTTGCCCTTCTCATGCTCTCCGTCATTTTCTTCTTGTTATTCTACTGCTATGCCCATGTTGTCTTGAGTACGCAGAACTGGGACGAGAAAGCCAATTGACAAAAATTCTCATATCTAAACTACCTAGCTCCTACACTATACATTGTCATTCAATAAATGTCACCATGACACTACAACGAGTCTTTCCGGTAACTCGGCTGTCTTGTTTATCATCATGCTCCAAGTTTACCGGGCAGAGAGCTCACTTCAGTACGTCAGGTCGGATGAACCTGCGTCAACGACCGCTCCGCCGAGCTACAAGTCGTATTTCCAACCAAACACAGCAAGTTAGTCCTGCAACTTCACCAATTGCAGTCACGCCAACCTCGAAATCAAATGTGAAGACTGAGCAATCCGGAAGCCGTCCAGCTGCTCAGGATATTACCGTACCAGGTTTTTCTCTCCATGAAAGTACCTCGAAAGCACGAAAGACCAAGCCGAAAGGACCATTACCTAAGGGAATCAAGCCCCATCAGCAGGTGTTAGTAGAGAGTGAGTCCATTTGCTTCAAGCAAGGCTCAACTTCGCCAGTCGATGTGCCTAAAGGAGACAGGCCCGCTCTTGCAGCAGCCGAAAACTTCTTTGGAGAACGCTACCAGATGCTCTACTCTGCCGAAAACCTTCATGACCACCCCCAAAACGACCACATCCCAGAAATTGTTGTACTGGGTGCCTCCAATGCTGGAAAATCGTCGTTCCTCAACGCTCTTCTCGGTGATCGGGAAATAGCCAAGGTGAGCCACAAGCCAGGCAAGACTACGACTATGAATGCGTATGGTGTTGGGCCACGTCCAAAAATTGCCAAGGAGCTCATTCGCAAAGGTGATGCACCGCCAAAGCACAGTCTGGTTCTGATGGACACACCAGGCTACGGTTTTAAAAGTCAAGAGGATTGGGGCAAGACTATCCTGAAGTATCTCAACGTCAGGAACATGCTTCGTGGCGCAGTGCTCTTGATCCCAGCCGACAAGAAGCTCCAGGAAACGGATAAATGGATGCTCAGAACCCTTGCTCAATCAAACACTCGAACATTGGTTGTCATTACCAAAGCGGACAAGCCTGGTAAGGAGTGGCAAGATGCATGTCACAATCTTCACACTCAGATTGAAGCCATCATGCGCGGTCTAGAGGCCCGGTCAGCTGCCGCCTGGAGAGAAGGATCCGGGCGTACGCTCGATGTCTATGCGACAGCCTCCAAAATTGCCTTCATATCCCGCCGCCTTGGCAATGGAGGTGGTATTGGAGGTGTAAGACTTGCAATACTGGAGATGGCTGGCTTTTCTCTGGGAGACAAGATCGAAAAGCAGCCCGAGACAAAGGCTTATACTGGGAAGGTCGTCTCTTTTGACGATATCATTTGGAAATCATGAGCTTGAGTATCGAAACCCAGTTGACTCATATATGTAGTATCTAGCTCATGATCATTGTACAATAGTTGGTCAGACATGTTCAAAACACTTGATATGGAGAGAAGCAAGTTGGTGCGAGGGCCAGCCTCGGCTCTAATGATGTATTAATACAGCCTTGAAGGGGTAGAACCTCGGTCCATACCTTACTCCTATGCTATTATCACAACTATGGTATCATTAAGTGCATTACAATCAAATGTCGTGACCTACTCATCACTCCTTCTGGCCCCCGTTCGATTTGGTCGATTTTGTCGAAGTCGCAGTTCCGGGTCTACTAATGGACTTGCTTATCGAGTGCCTCAACTTCCTGCTCCCTTTCGTGTCAAACAAACTCTTTACTCTCTTTAATCTCGCCCATCTCTCCTTATCCTTTACGTCTCTGTCTTTCTCGTCTTCCTCGGCATTGTCTACACCAGCTCCAACGGAGCCAGGGGTTTGGATCGGTGTGTTGATGGAAGCGGCTGTTCCAGGTCTCTGTGGTGTGGATGGTGCTCCCATCGATCGTTCAGTTCGCGGTCGCGCAGGTGAACGTCCCTCATAGACACTTCGAAGATGTGCCTCGTTTGCGATAGTTCGCACCAACACCTTCCAGCCTGGCAAGTCTTGCCCAGAAGCGTTCTGCGAATGTCCCTGCTTCTGGGTCTCAGAGTTCGCCCACGGGCAGAAGAAGCGATGCTCTCGACCTGGATCTAAGAAGTCCATAGGGGCTGGCACCAGAACCTCATTATTCTCACCCACTTCCTTGCTCTTGAACATCCATAGTCCTAGTCGCCTGAGACAGGTATGGCACGATGCTGAGTTTGGGACTGCACCAATACGGGCGTTATTCAGACCTTGCCATCCCATTAAGGCAAGCGATAGTGCGACTCGATTTGGTTGAGTTTCAGCCTCCTTTGCCGGCGGTGGTTTGGTGAAGAAGTCGCTCGGTAGATGTGAAAGAACATCGTCCAAGTTCAACTCCTCTGGCAGTCGAAGATTGAACTCATAGGGTAAAAATGATTTTCGTGCTAGCAGCTCGTCATAGCGCTCACGTAAAGCTGCAAGACTCGTAGTTGCATTGGTTAAAGACAATCGGAGAAGAGAATCTGTAAACAAGGTCAGACAACAAAGGCAATATGCGCTTGCAACGAGACAACTTACCATCACAGCCCCGTTTACGCCAGAGACAATCTTCCTGGTGTGAATTTACAATAAGATCGACATACTTGTCTACCAATGCATCCTCTACCGAAGGTTAGCGCGTTGATAAAAAGTTCAAGAGGAAGAACCTACCTATCTCGGATGCCACGAGAACAGGAACCTCCTTTCCATCCACGACTTTGCGATTGAGTTTGACAACCAGTTCCCGATGACAGAGAAGACAGCGAACTGTTTCCTTGCCATGGCAAACCCATCCACGCTTTGCCCATTCTATCTCATTCACTTTGTCCGGCTTTGGGGTCCAGTCTGTTATTTCTTGGAACGTGCCTAGCCTTTTCAAAAGGTCTCCTCGATCGGTCGGCGCATATCGTGCGGGTGCTCCAGTAGATTTCTTTGACGAATCCTGGCCTTGTGTGCGTCGGGAAACGATAGCAGAGAGGGTCGCGGACAGATTTGTTCTTTTACCGGCTTTGGGTGCTGTTGAATCCGGAAAGCCTAATCTTCGGCGCTTTTGAAGCAGTTCGGCATCGGCGCTCGAAACACGAGTTTCTGAGCCTGGGGAAGTAGTAGAACGATTTGAGGGCGAGCCGGTCTCGTACGCCGACGTGTCGTTGGCGGTTTTCGAGCTCGATGATCCTAAGCCCTGCAATAAGGTATTAAATTTCCTTTTCGTTGCGTTCGTTGACATATTGCGAACGTGTTCGGGCTCTTTTTTTCGACCCGCAATTTCGTGTTGTAGAACGCGGTCTGGTGATTTGGGTCAATGAAAACGGAACTTGGTTGAGGTTTGTGTTGTTACAACGCCAAATCCACAAGAGGCGATGATGTTTGAGCTTCAGCAGCTTTCCTCTGGTCGCTATGGTACCAGCGTCGCGAGTATCCCTCCCCTGGCTAGCGCGTCGTTGAGTAGACGAGTTAGTGGTATTAAAAGTCCAGGTTGGTTATTCCAGGGCAACCCCTGTCATCCTTAACTGATATACTTTTATATCAGGGGCCGTTCTAGAAGTAACTTGCTAGGTAAGAGTAGCCTTTGCCTAT